TATTTCCATAACAGAAATCACAATTTCCCCTGCTTCTGTTATATTAAAAAGCTCGTTTAAATTCCAGATCCAAAGGGATTTAAAAGTTTTGGCATAATTTCTTGTTCTTTTCCTTAAACATGACATCCAATCCAGGTATTAGCACAATCTAACAAACCAAATTCCTCTAAAATTTAAAAGCTCTAGTTGAAAATGGGTTTTAGATTTCTTTATTTATTATTATTATTCTTTTGAAATTGAAGATACTCCAAGAATTTCTACAATCCCTTTGCCTTTAATTTAGAAACATAATTTTAAAAGGTTTCCATTAGAAATTATTACAAAAACTTTTTAAATACATGAAAGCTTTCTAAAAAGTTTTGTAAATTTCTACACACCTTTCTTTCCAACTTAATACCTACTATAAAGTACGATTTTCCTCGAAACATTTTTAAAAATATAGTACCTACTGGGACCTTTATAGGTATTGCCCTTGTTTTTAAAACTCAAATCTAATTTTACATCTGGGTTATCTATATATTCGCTAGCACACATCCTTATTGGAATTAAGGAAAGAGAAGACTTACCTAAACTGTTTTAATTGCACCCTTTGAAGAATTATATCACTTTCATTGGTCAAAACAAATTAACAATTTGAACTTTTTATCAATTAGAAAAGTTTCTTCGACGGACCAACTTAACAGTTCATGTATCACTTGATTGAATCGTTGAGAAACGGTCGACGGAAGAAGAAATAAAGAACAACGGGATTACCTGATGTTTACCACGCGAAACGGAAATCAAAATAAAGCGGCAATTGGAGGCAAAAAAAAGGTGTCCGGCTCGAATAGGGACCAATTTACCGTTCGTTCGAATCGATTAGACAAACTAAAAGGGCAAATTAGAGTGTTCTTGAGCGCGCAATGATTCGAATAAGTCGCGTTCCGAGTGACCAGACGCTACTCTAGCGGAAGCGACGCCGGTGTCTCTAATGGTATACGTATGGAGTGGACGCCACCTGAATGCGTGCAAGTCTTTGGAGTAGAACTGATAACGTGGCTCAATTCATCATCCAAACGGACCCTCTTTCACCTCGCTAGGTGTGTACAGACGTCAATGTTGTCCTCTTCAGCCAATGGTGAACGTGCGTGAAAAGCTCCGTCCAATGGGAACGAAGAAGAGGGACGGCTTACGTCATTGATTTCCATTTCGTAATTGCTTATTCGCGCGTAAACGCAGTTGGCCGAGTAGAGGACGCCACTTTGGCGTCGATTGCGCAAGCTTCTCGCTTGGGGGTGTTAGTGTCGGCAGCGACGCCGAGCGCCATTTTAAACGATTTTTAAACTTTCAACCCTAACGGCATTCGCCCTTCATTTACCTACGCAAGGACCAGAGATGTTTCTATTTTTAGGGAAACCTTCGGAAATGTTTGTTTTTGGATGGAGCCTTATCGGAAAGGTAAATTTTCCTCTTACCATATTGGATTTTCCCAAAATAGCGACTGCTAAATCATAAAAAATTACAAAGCTCATGAAGCCAAAGGCACATCACATTTTTCGTAGTGAAGCTTTTCGAAGTGGCGGTTGAAGTAACGAAACGACCACCAAGTAACCGCTCTTGTCTACACTTACTGGAATTCCTTGTTACAGCATCATTCAAGCGAAACACGTTTTGCATCCTGTTAATCACTTGGACCTAATGCAAAGCTCAAAATAAACTAAAAGCTTTTGCAGCGGTGCCTTCGAAGCTGTGAAGATACAATAAGGATTATTGCACCTTAACTTTGACATTAAATAAGGTTCGGACCGTCCTCTTTATGAGTGACGATCTTAGTCATTCGAGGAAGCTAATGAATCTTTTGAAAGCTCTGTTACAACAACTACCACTTTAAAAAGAAGCAGTTGATTTTTCTTTTCTTTCAATGTCAAAATTAAACTGAAAGAGTCTTGATGAATGTTAGTGAAATGTTATTCCTTCAATTGGAGAATCTGGTACAGCTTTGGTCAGAGCTGGATGGTAAAACTTCTGACTTACACCAGATTAGTCCAAGTGATGCTCGTCTTTCCGGGGTTTCCCAAAGAAAATATAGCAATATATTCCGAGTGCCTACACATTTGATTTCCTTCTTTTCCGAAATCGAAATATCAATTTAAAAAAGAAGTAATTGATTTTTCTTTTTTCCATTTTCAAAACTAAATTGAAATAGAATTGATGAATGTCGGTGAAATGTTATTTTCTCAATTGGAGAATCTGGTACAGCTTTGGTCAGAGCTGGATAGTACAACTTCAGACTTACTCCAGATTCGTCTAAGTGATGTTCGTCCTTGTGGGATTTCCCGAAGGAAAATATAGCAATATATTCCTGATGGCTACACATTTGATTTCTTACTTTTCTAGATTTGAACTATTAATTTAAAAAGAAGCAATTGATTTTCCTTTTCTTCCAAAGTCGAAACTAAATTGAAACAGAGATGATGAATGTTGGTGACATGTTATTCTCTCAAATGAATAATCTGGTGCAGCTTTGGTTAGAGCTGGATGGTACCACTTCAGACATACTCCTGATTCGTCTAAGTGATGCTCGTCCTTCTGGGTTTTCCCAAAGAAAATACAGCAATATATTCCGGGTGCCTACATTACTTTTGCAGATTTGAACTATCTCCAGACACTTGTTTTACTTGTTTGTATTATTTTAACGGCCAGACTTCCTGGACTAACACCAGGAGTTTTGGGCGACTCTCAAGAAAGATTACCAAAATCTTTTATTTTTCTTTTAATTATT